ATTCAAATATGCCATTTAAAAGAAGGTAATGTAAGTCGTTAGAGGTTGAATATGCAAATCTCTTAAAATCTCACGAAAAACGAGAATTAGCGAGATTTCAAAAGCTATACGGAAACTATACTATTGCATTTGTTTTTCGCGGGAAAAAGTTTCTCTCATTGACGTCACAGATTTCTAAGCAGCTCATTATAATATTCATGAGCTGACTTTGTGGAAAGGTGAATAACATTGTAACAAAAGAGTACAATTGTAAATCTAATATTTATGTATTTAACAATTGTCTTCAAATATCAAGGTAAAATAAACCGAAATGTTATCTGAGTAGTATTACTCCAGTATATTGCATGTTTAAGTTATCTAATATTTATGAGCATTTTAAAACCTATTTTTGGCATATAGCATCAATCAATTTGTACAGATTTTTATTCTTCTGTTTGGGTATGAGCTGCTAGTTCATAATGAAGGTGTTATATTTTTTCTCTATCTGATCTAATACTGGCCACATGAGCACACCAGGTAGATATCAGTTACACAAACTTTAGAGCAACATTTAACATTAAACTTGTATATTTAAGTTCACTGAGTTACCCTGTATGTGGAAATAAAAGACATTAGCTCAACCAGCAGACCAGCAGACTATTAGCTAGAAGCTTCAAACAAAATGCATTTTAAAGCTCTTATTTTTATTGGTCATCGCCCCTCCCTCCTGGCTACGCCTATGATAGGTATATACAAAAATGGTAAGCGGCAATGGTCATAGTATGTCTAAAAAATTAATATAAGTGATTCCAATGCAGATATTTTATACTTCATATTTCATTATAGAAATTTTAACTTTACTCCAGACTTGACAGAACTTTAACTTTAAAGAACTCTTTAAAATTGTCTTTGAATAATACATTGAATCAGCCTGAAACCTACGACACATCTTTCCGAACCTGTTTCAGGCCCGTAGCCAGAATTTTCCAAGAGGAAAACAGTTAATCTTTCTAGAGGAAAACAGTTAATCTTTCTAGAGGAAAACAGTTAATCTTTCTAGAGGAAAACAGTTAATCCAGTCAAGACTACAGTAATGAGACAAACTCATAACTTACATAACTTAAATAATCTGTCTCCAGATTGGAAAAGAATTATACAGTTATATGAAGCACTATAAAGCTGATAAGCTGTTAGTTATCCAAACATATGTGTCCACTTAATGATTTTAAATAGAGAGTCAGTTTCAGAAGCTTTCAGTCTAATGTATTGCATGTATTATGAATTCTCTACCTTTTCAATATATTGAAGCAAAATTAGAAAAAACGTATAACAAAACCCCCAAAAATAGATAAAAATCAAGATAAACCTTTTATTTCATCAACAAGATACTTTTTTAAAATCAACCAAAATTTCCTTTGTACAATTACAATATTGAGAGACTTAAACATGTTGTATGTTGTTTTGTTCAAAACAGCAGGCCCGTAGCCAGGGGGGGTTCGCCCCCCCCCCCTTGGCCAAAATTTCTTTCAAAATCATGCAGTTTTTCACCACTCTGACTAATTTTTGAGTGATTTTTGGCCATTTTTGCCAAAGTGAACCCCCCCAGAATATTTTAGAAAAACGAACCCCCCCTTGGAAAATTCTGGCTACGGGCCTGAAACAGGTTCGGAAAGATGTTTCATTTCATTCTGAGCATATGATACCAGAAGCAAAAGAAGTGTTTGATGTGTTTTCTAAAACAATATAGTGAAAAGTATATACATTTTTTCAAATGTTATTGTTACCATTCAAAAGATGACCATTAAATTGACGATATGTAATTTTTAGAAATTTTTGACGACTGATTTAAGAGAAAAGTGTGTTCAAAATGTTCACCATATCAAAACCAATCCTTTACAGATTTTCCTAAATATCCAGGATGTCAACTCTTCAGTGGAAAGGTTAAACTTGTGACTAGGATAACAAAAAGGTCAATCTTTCTAATTTTCACATATTTTGTTATATATCAGATAGACATTGAAGTTCTGCCTAAATAAAATCTGGCTGTTCTTGGATTTTAAAGTGTTATGTAAAGATGATAACTTAATGACTATTAGATGACTCTTCCACCTACACCAGTCCAGTCTTTACCATTTAAACATGCAATAAGAGAAGTTAATATACAGGGTGGTCCAAAAAAGTGAACCCCTGCAACAGGCTATATTGTCCTTAATACTTGCATGAATAGACTCATATTATCACATGTTGTAGAAAAAGGTCTAAAATTTTGTTGATGCCATAGTCTATTCTCTGTCTTAAATTTTGAAGAAATCACATCTAAATGAGGTTTTATATAGGATTCATCCTCAGTGTATATTGCTATCAACTCATAAAAGAGAATGGATCAAGATGAATCTTAAAGAATTAGAATTTACTTTTTACATACTTTAACATAGAGATCTCGAAATGGGAACTGGGAACTGGGGACTGGGGACCAGCTTAGAAGATACATACAAATACATATATACACAAACATAGATATCTCAAACTGGGAACTGGGGACTGGGGACCTTCTTAAAAGATACATACAGATACATACATACATATATATATAGCATATAGATATCTCAAACTGGGAACTGGGGACTGGGGACCAGCTTAGAAGATACATACAAATACATACATATTATATATAACAATATAGATATCTCAAACTGGGAATTGGGGACTGGGGACCTTCTTAAAAGATACATACATATTATATATAGCAATATCTCAAACTGGGAACTGGGGACTGGGGACCAGCTTAGAAGATACATACAAATACATACATACATATAGCATATAGATATCTCAAACTGGGAACTGGGGACTGGGGACCTTCTTAAAAGATACATACAAATACATACATATTATATATAACAGTATCTAGTCTATCTAATTAACATATTCCATGCTTGTATATATATCATACATATATATGAATACATATAATAATGTAAGTATCTATCTAATTTGCATATTCTGTGCTGGCATATAATATATATATGCATGAATACATAGATATATGTATTCATATGCATACATGTATCTATCTAATTTGCATATTCTGTGCTGGTTTACATGGCCCATAAGCCATTTATATTCGGGTTGGTGAAGGATTACAGGGACAGTACAGGAAGACTTAAATTTTTCAGCATTCTCAATAACAATAACGGGAAATTTTACGGTAGTTTGAACAAAAATACTGTTGATTTTAGCAGAAATACGGTAGATTTTCGAAAATTTACGGTAGATTTTCAAAAATTTACGGTAGATTTTACGGCCGTTCTCATGGAATAAACGAGTTTTTTAAAAAGAAAATTTACGGTAGATTACGAAAAAAATACGGTAGATTTTTTTACGGGCGTTTTTACGGGAAAAAATAGTATTTTTTTTACGGTAGTTTGTCATTTTTTTACGGAAAAACGAAAAATTTACGGTAGATTCCCGTAAAAATACGGTAGGTTGGCAGGTATGTAAGTGCGTAGGCCCGACGTTAGTAGTGGGTATTTGTTTTCCTTAGTCAGGCTAGTTTACAGCTCATATTTGCCATTGTGAAATTTATGAGGCATGTCTCTTTGTACTTGTTGAGAGTTTTTATTATCACTTAGGGATTGTTTTATAAGAACTATAATATATGAGAATCAGGTTTCTAAATTCGAGGTGAAAACAGTTATAGTTGTCATTTAAGGATCTGGAAACCATTTGTTTTGGATTCGGAAGTCTTAGGGTGTTCAAAAAGGAATTTATGAAACGTAACCTGAGGGGTGGAGCAGGGAATTGTTGTTAGTAACATAAGGCTTAGATCCCTAGAGGTTAATTACCCTTATTGTTTGGAGTTTTGTTGGGAAAGATCCTTCCGCACTTTAGGTTTAGAATAAATCAAGTTTGCTGGTTGTGGGCATTATCAAGTCCTGTTAGGCTTTTAGCTTTATTTGAAGTGACAAGGCATTTAATACTTTCTGGCATTTATAGAGGGCGTAAAAGACAATACAGTTAGAAAGCTTACTATTTTGAGTTTAAGTTGACCTCATGTACTATAGTGTATGTCCTACATCAGTAGTATAGAAAGTATCCATTTGAAACACGTGATAGACTATAGAATTCTTGTTTGTATTAAATTATAAATATTATAATAATCAATCTGAGCAGTTATTCATAGATAACTGAAAGGCATTTGATTGCATGCACATCACATATTTATTCATATAAAGTTTAATCGAATAAAATTAATTATAGATATACATTACCATCTTATAGTAAGTATCTTCAGGCTTGATAGGCCTAGTTGTTGTTTTAGCACATTATTGTTGTTGCACATTTATTTAATCTGTATAAATCTGGTGTGTAGCTTTACCCTGACTCTCTCATCTTGAGAAACTGATTTTCCGTACCCTTTACTTAATTTTAGTTATAATCTTTAGAATACGAGCTCTATTATCTATTTCCGGTCACGTTTATCAAATCTCGCATTTCCCGAGATCAGTATTCTATATTTAGCATTAATCAGAGCTAGTATTCTATATACTTATTGCAATTATAAAGGAAACTGTGACATTTCGGTTCTCAATTATTGACTTAAATAAAAAACTTGTTCCAAAACAGTTAAGTGGAAATTGATTATAAGATGCCTGAAGCTATACTGTAAATGCATAGCGTAACTTGAGAATTGGAACAAGATAATATATGAATACTCTATAACATGACATATAATACTCTATAACATGACATATAATACTCTATAACATGACGCTGAATGTGACTTACTATATTTGCACATTACACTGTCTCCCGACTCCAACTAGCATTCTATGAATATTAAACCGATATTTTATGATGTTATACATCGATTGAAGTAGTGTAAGTGTTCCAACGATTTCTTACATTTCTCCAAAAGCCCTTTAACATGGGCTGGGAATATCCATTTTTGCTTGAGAGATAGCTTTGTGCAAACTAAGTAAAATGTGACATTGCCTGAGCGAGTAGGTCTAATTACTTACCTTGGATTGTCATTGCCAATAAGCTTCACAAGGCCCCATAGAAAATCTTCAGACCCTGAATGACACAGAAAATGGCTGATAGTGCTATCCTTTTGCGCATGGAGATCGTCGACCAACATTTCCAAGGCTCCATGTGCCCGTTTATCTGTGTGCATGAGCATGGCGAAATAATCGCCTTTCACCCAGTTTAGCGGCATGGCGATCTCTTTAAACTATTCGCCTTACTAACAGTGTACATTCATAGTGTAAATGAATCCCTCATTTAGGTCTATCTTGGCATTTTTCACGGTGAAAACACTGAAAGTATTTATATAATTTTGTTCCATTTTTTAAATGTTGTCCACCATATTGTTGACTGTTGCCAGGTCTCGCAGGTGCACGAGAACTTACGAGATAATTGTTTTCGTTCAGTGCAGATATAAGAAACACAGTTTCCTTTGATTCCCGGGAATCAAAAAAGGAAACAATTACATAGATCTACATAGAAACTCCAATAAAGGAATGGGTATTCAGCTCTATGATCAGAGGCTCCTTCAAGGGTCAAAATTATATAACCATTCAATTAAGCCATGATGCACTACAGGCCATGATACTAGTCAATAACAGGTAACAGCAGATCAATACAGGGTGGGGCGCAGAAACATTGACCCCAAAATATGATACCATATCATGTCCTTACTATAATATTTTTCTTTTTACTATAAAGCATGGTGGTTTGTCTGTCTCTCTGTCCAGACATCTCCTCCCCTCCCAGATTGTTTTACCTTGGACCCTCATACTTGGTCAACATTAAAGTGATTCGGTGGGCACTCTATGAAGGTCAAAGGTCATTCCAAGGTCAATATCTAGGTTTTATTTGGCTTTTTATGACCCTTGAACAATGATTAGGTAATTGGCGTTTTTAAAGGACCTTCAGGGCTGCTGTGACCTGGCCATGGCGACCCATGATTAGGTGACCTGAGATCAAGGTCATTCCAAGGTCAAAGGTCGATATCTAGGTATTTGACGTTTTAAGACCCTGGGGTCTGCCATGACCCTTGGTGACCCATGATTAGGTGACCTGATGTCAAGGTCAACGTTAAATTGGGCAAGGTCATCTCAAGGTTAAAGTTCAGTATCTAAGTATTTAAGGACCTTCAGGGTTGCTGGGACCCTTAGTGACTCATGATAATGTGACCTCAGGTCAAAGTCATTTGAGACTGTTGCCATGTGAGGGCTGCTGTGACACTTTGAGACCCAATCAAACGGGTAGATTACTAATAGTATTTAAGTCATTTTATACATCATTTAAAACAGAATTAACAAATTGGCTGAAAATAAATTATTTTGCATAGTAATGATTCCTAGGAGACTGATCAAATATAGCAATATCTGATTATCACAAGAAAGGTCTAAAGCTTAGAGCTACAGGGTTTTAGGGATATTGTAGGATTGAATTTAAAACTGCTATATACTTCAGTGAATGGGTGTATGAACTATAGGGGCAGGAGGTACACATTTTTGTACCACCCTGTGTATGGGCATAAATTCTTTATTTTGTTTTCTTAAATATATAATTACTTGAAGATCCTCTTTTAGTAGGTGATGTTCCTCTCTTAATTATACTTAAATGACAGACACAGTTCTTAACTTATCTCAATTTTGTATTTGTATGACAAATATTTGATATATACATGGTATCATAATCTTTTTATCCAAAGAACTGGCATTTTGATAATATGTAGGTAATTGACTGTTAGGCTCTCTATTGAAACTTGATTTGGACAAAAGTTGACTTACCCAGATGATTGGGATAATTTCATCTTCTTTTATAATGACACTTTTAGGATCTATCTTAACAAAGTATACTTATGAATATAAGGTTATTTAAAATTCAATATTTCAATAAATATATTAGGCAGCTACTAAATACTGCTCAATAAAAAAATAAATAATGAAAAAAAGTAATTTACAGAAAACAAACAAAAAATTCAAGTGCCCAAATATGTACGGGAGTTTCTCGCAAATAGGCCCATGGGGTTTATTTGAAAGAGGAGTGTATGAAAGTTTTTTCCTTCTTCATGAAGGCCCATGTTCATTTCGAGTACTTCTAAATTAATGTCAAGTGGGTGAAAACATTCGAGAAAAGGATTGAAATTGCTTAAAAACAAAACAGGCTGGAAAAAAACAGAAGTGGCAAACAGAGCAGAAAATTGGGGCAAAAATATGACAAAGGGTCATATGTTGGTCAACGTTCATGATATTATTGCATGAGTATGAAGGCCATGTGTCAACTTTACTATCTACAACCCTCGAAATAAATGCCCAATGGTTTGCAAAAGCTATTTTTACGTCTTAATGACTGCAATCCCCTTGGAAAAATTATTTTTAACTCTTAATAAATGTTCATGGCTGATTATTTTGAGTTCTTTCAAATAAATGCCCTGTATAAAATTGCAAAATAAAAAAATAGAAAAATTTCATTTTGAGAGAGCACAAAAAAAATATTTATAGATTGTAACAAAAAAGTCATTCTTTTGTCACTGTCTCAATTATATTACACAATTTATTTAACAATTTACATTCTGTGTTGATAATTTTAATGTTCATAAAATATGTGACTGGAGATTTAGTGTTAAGACTGGTGCTCCTGACCTTGATCCAATGTCACTCACTAGACCTTAAGTGTTTCTTGTTTAGACTTGCAGTGCCCATGGCCATGATACCACATCTAATGTCACTAGTATATAGCTTTAGGGGTTTTGATTTGGACCAGTACCAAGGTCATGATACCACATAAAATGTCACTGGACTTTTAAGGGTTTTTATTTAGACCATTGACCTTGGCCATAATACCACATCCTATGTCACTAAAACCTTTAGTGTTCTTGATTTAGACGTGCCCCTGGCCATGATAGGACATCCAATTTCACTAGACCTTTAGTGTTCTTGATTTAGACGTGCCCCTGGCCATGATAGGACATCCAATTTCACTAGACCTTTAGTGTTCTTGATTTAGATGTGCCCCTGGCCATGATATCACATCCAATTTCACTGGAACTTTAGTGTTCTTGATTCAGACTATGCCCGGGGCCATGATACCACATCCAATGTTATTAGACCTTTAGTGTTCTTGATTTAGACTAGTGCCCCTGGCCATAATACCACATCCAATGTCATTAGACCTTTAGTGTTCTTGATTTAAACTCGTGCCCCTGGCCAGATGAAACCACATCCAATGTCACTAGGCCATTAGTGTTCTTGATTTAGACTAGTGCCCCTGGCCATGATACCACATCCAATGTAACTAGACCTTTAGTGTTCTTGAGCAATTGCACGACATATGCATGGGTCATATTTGTAATGTCATCACCATTAACACTAAGTACAATATCACCACACCTGGAAAACAAACAGAAAATATTACACAGACTTGATCATTTTGGGTTATAGTAACATCTCAAGGGGAAATAACCTCCTGTCCAACCATGGCCCTATTTTCCTGTAAAGATGAACCTCTATTTTAAGTCAAAGACACATATCATCAACACTGATAGGTGTGAAAAAATTACTCATCTCATCACTATAAGAACCTAAATACATGATGCGAGTTTTCAGATAAAACGTATATGCCCTTATAAGGGGGCCTGAATGTGGTACGTCAGCAACAAATAGGCAGGAAATGATGAGATGTGAGATTTTATATGTTGATCAGAATTGTTTATTTAAAGAGTGTAGATAGGGTGACAATCTTATAAAGGGTACATACTTTAGTCTTCCATCTCTGAATGCTGGTGTACCAGGGACAAGGGACTTGACGTGTATACCCTGTTTTCCTGGTGTGCTGTCTATTCCTCCCACTATGGAGAAACCAAGACTCTGCGAGTAACCCTTCTGAATTGTTATGGTTTTTACAATTTGGCACTTTCTGGAAGCATAACGGTGTTTTGAATTAGATAATGGTTTGATTTCACATAGAACATTGAATGAAAATAATACTTATGGCATATTTTGTCATTTTCTTTCTAGTATGTCATTATGTCAACAGATATCTGTGTGGTTCTTTAGAATTCAATTCTCTACCAAACTTGAAAACAATTTAGAAATCAAATAAAACAAATACACAAATACTCCCATTTCAAAACTAAATTTTGAATCAATTGGGCAGATATAGTAATTTTTCAAAAATATTTTAGATATTAACCTTAATTCAATGAACTTACTTTGGAAGATTCAACCAGTACAACCATGAAGGGGAGAAGTTTGTAATGCCATCACTTGACTCCACACTGCTGATTGTTCGAAGTGTCACACTTTTAGCATCTGCACTTGCCTTGAGAGCTTTCACCGCCTCTTTGTGTGTAAGGCTCTTCAGGCTGGTGCCATTGATGGCCAAAAGAACGTCACCTTTCTGAAAATTACACAAATATTAACTGTCACATTCTCTATGGTGATAATAAGATTATCTATACAAAATGTGTATGATTATGTAATAACCAGCTTCTGATCTGGGATACACAGTGACAGTCGTGGAACCTGTGCAAGGTTATCGATTCTTGATGAGCTTTGATAAATTCTTTATTGAGTCTAAGATGCCAAATTCCACTTCAAAGAAAAATAATTTGTTGTTGATTGAATCATTATATGGGCTTTTAAGAAAAAGAAATTAGTCTCTTGAAAGTCCATGATTGAATGTTTTCTTCAATATATGAACATGCCATTCATTTTAGTGGGTTGAATGTATGATTTATTTTACAATCTCTTACTTTGATTTGCTTGCTGCGTCCTAGGCACCCATTAGCTTGTATGTTAGTTACATAGAGAGGAATATCACCACGTAAGCTCTCCAATCCACCTGCGACACTAATTCCTAAAGATTCTTTTGAGTCCTTGAAAAAGAATAAGCCTTCAGTTTTGACACTTCAAACATGACATACAGGGGAAGACATTCACTTCTCAAAATCTAAGACATATTCCTAAAAAAGTCATCATTTCCTCCCATTTTTGTGTAGTTAATTAGCTTATTTTCCAAAAGCATTTTAGACCTGGAGCTTGTTAATCCATTAGTTATAACAACAGACCCCATGAGATAAAAAAAATTGTAGCTAACTTGATAATACAGGCAAGGAGCTTTAAAGTACCTTGGCTACAGTGAAGTGCTTTTCTTCACATTGCTTACAAAGAGCACCATCATCTGCTAAAGAACCAGAAATCTGCTCATGTGACGTTGAACGTATTAAATCGGGAGTTTGTGGTCGACTACGTCTTGAAACAACAAATTGCACTTTGTCCACACTGGCCTGGAAATGAGAACTTTTATTAGTTTCTTTAATTGAGGATCATTTGCAAAAAACAGTTAACTTGAGGACATTTAGCTTGAGTAATGTCAAGCAAGGGGAATTTTGCCTTAATAGAATCAAGCAAGGGGCATTCTTCCTGAATTGAGTTAAACAAGGGGCATTTTCTATACACTGTTCACTAAGGTAGGGATGATTTCTGTGTGATATTAAATATCTTCCTGTTCAGTCAACAGGTTACATGGATATGCACTGAAATAAAACTGGTATCCCTTGTAGGCATAGGATATCTAGTTTAAAAGTGTTTACATCGAGAAGTGTTTGGATTTTAAAGATGTGTTTGGACATAAAGGTGTTTGGATTAAAGATGTGCTTGGACATAACGTTTTCATTGTTTTTGTATCTACCTGTATTATATTAGCTGCTTGTTCTTGGGTGCCAAATGTCAAATCTTGGCAGTTGATCTCCAGTATTCTATCATCACGCTTCAAGCGGTTGTCTTGAGCAGCTAGTGATTCTGGGATCTAAAAGTATGGCAGAATATTTATGGAACTGTTTGCAGTTTATAAATATAACAGTTGATATAAACTTTTGCATAATTGTTTTCTTCGTTATGGATAGATACATTTATTTATTTCGTAATGACTGACGCAAAATGATTGAAATTGAGTGGGTTACTTTCAAATTAAGAAAAATAAGAAAAATAACATTTTCAGTTATTATGTAAATAGAAACAACATACCACATCCATTATGTAAAGTCCTGGAGAATGCCTGGAAATAAAATAAGAAATTTAATATTCAATGCCATTCTTATAGACAATTTCATTTTTGACGAGTGATGGGCAGTGGGCACTATAATGCTCGATATTATAAGCAAAACGATCTATATATCTTGTCCTCATTAGAACTTTGGGCTAAAGCTAGGGTAAGTGAAATATTTCAAATTTTGAAAACAATGATGGAATTGTGTTTTATCTCACAGTTGTTCTGTTTTTAATTCTATGCTGTCTATGTATTAAAGCCCTAATCATGCTTATATTGTGAGAATGTAAACATAGATGTCACTGTAGTGGGCTCTTCAGAAAATGCTATTTATCTCAAATACATAAACCTTGTGAGAAATAGATTGAGTATCAGGCCTCCATTCATTGATTGTTTTTAGAATGTTAATAATTTTTCATGACATATTAAAAAATAATCTTACCTTTTTCCTACAAGCTTTATACCAAGCTGTTTTCCTTTCTGTTTCACTAGGGAAATTCGAAGGATCTCTGCAAATGAGAACAATTAGCATTAATATCAACTTAGTGAAATATACTAGGCCATTGAGATATATTTAGGCAAATGAACTGGAAAAATGATAGGATAATTCTACCCAAAATATGCACTTGGTACTTAAGTTACAACTGAATAATTTCATCAGAATATGTCACCTCAAATTAACTGTTTAATAGATTTGAAAACAGAAGAACTGTGATATAAATATAAACTTTTCGAGAATATACAGAGAAATACAATAATAATGAGAGTAACAATTCCAATAAGAATTTATCGAAAAACTCTTGGAATATTATTTCATAACAGATCAATAATAAAACCAATTCCTATAAAAAAATTAATCTTTTTCTATCAATAGTCACCATTATGTAAAACATTTCTTATTGATCACATGACATGACAAAAAATACCTGACCTAAATTTAATTGTACATTCACAATTATCTAATAGAATATGTGTTTGATTTTAAGAAGGCATTAAGAGTTTTTCTTATTTATCTTGACTGCATATGTAGAATTTCTATTCATTTGCAAATGCAGTTGTATTTTATGAAAATCTTCCATATAAAAGCCATTTGATTCATCTGAATCTTGGATATTTTGATATAGACCTTTATGTACATATCGTGTTAATTTCCTGTTTTTCTCACGTCATTCCTTTTTCTATGAATCAATACATTAACAGTTATTCAACTTTTCCAGTTTCAATTCACCTTGCAAACAAAATCGACATGTACAATGCACTCTTTTACACTTATGGCTTTTGGCATTTTGCAAGAAGAATAAAGTACAGAGGGGAGAAACTTTGAGAAAAACCTTACATGGATTAATTTTTTTTTTTTTTTTACATACTTCATATTTATTTCTAAAAATCAATTGAAATACAATACAAAAACTCAGAGTGGGTGGTTATACTAGGGGCATTTCTGTGGTCATAGCTCATATTTCCTTTGAACAGCATTGTTTGTCTACTGGAAATAATCAATGATAAAATACTTTAATTTGTGAGCTGTGATAATTTCAAAAATCAACCCTGTGTTAATACAGAATCTATTAGACTACAATTTACTCTAACATTTCAATCTTCATAAATTTAAATTTTGAATAACTTCTCAATCCTTTTTCAGAAAATTAGATTTGGATTATAAATAAAAATAAATATATAATTAAAAAAGGAAACATGCCTTTTAAGCTTTTTTAAAAAGTTACTTTCAAAATTTTACACTCTCTAAGCTTTGTTGCCCCTTTAAATAACAATTTTATTGATATTTCATTATGCTCGTTTCACATTTTAATCTTTTTTCTTTGCAATTTTGTATTTCAACAAAAATGAAAAGCAAAGTTTTTTCTAAATTTAGATACATAAACGTTACATGGAAGTATCTTGTTTAGCTATTTGAGAATATAATATTTCAAGTTAAAATTGTTCAACAGATTGTATATTGATTATGCCTCAAGCCCAAAACCACAAGACATTTTTTCATAATTTAGTTAAAGTGTGCAATCACCACAATAGGCTGCAGATATTTAGTTTTCTCAGATGAATCGTATTCAATTATTAATTAATTAACCATATTTTGAACTTGCGGAACAAAAAGTGTTGAAATTTGTGAGAAGCTAATCTCATGAGTAATAGAAATCTAGGGTTGTATGCTTAAATATTTTGTTACAATGTATTATATGAGAATTTGTTTTTAATTGGTGTTTTGGTCTTATACAGGGTTGGCCTTTTACATGGAGTCAAATGTCAGAGAATGTTTGTTTCTTTCATTTTATATTTCATATAAAATATCAAATCAAAACCTGTGTTCCTGGAACAAGTTTGGTACCTCAAAATAATGTTCAACTTTTGAGGTATTCAACTTTAGAACAGATAATTTCTGATGATGGATAATTGAACTTTTAATTCTGATTCACTTATGGAGATGTTCCACTTCCACAGAATGTAATGTATCTAAAATATCTCCTACCTTCTTTTTCTATTGGACTATTATCCTCTGATTTTTCTCTATAAACAGTGAGGCGACATATTGAGTAGAGGAGTTCCAAGGCTTTCCTGGCCTGGGTGTGGGTGGCTTGGGTTAGGTCCTCACCATTCACCTGTAATTCGTTGATCACACAATTTGTTAAATGTTCAAACCTTGTTGTGTCTGGATGAATGAACAAAATTAGCCTAATTCTATCAAGGTTGACCACTTTCCATAAAAGAATATGATATCCAAGTATATTCAACCTCAATTCAGATATCCAAAATTCTAAAACTTATATGACAAATTCTCAATCTGCATATTCAAAAACATTATACTGAATATCTTAAAACCTGAAATAAGATATAATTTGAAATAAGATATAATTTCTAGTGCAGATATTCCATTACCTCTAGTATTTGATCCCCTGACTGTAGTCTGCCATCTTTAGCAGCTATACCATCATGTAACAAATTCTGCACAACGACACACATCTGCAAATAAATCACAATCATAAATGACAACCTCAGGTCAGTGACAAAGTCAGAAAGGTAGAAATCCTTATCTATAAGGTAAGGTGTTCATCTGTTGAACATTTAGGTATTGGAGGCTTTCTTGCTACTTTCGAGGCATCAATTATCATCAATGGGACAAAAAGGACTTCATGGAAGGACTTCATGGCAAATTATTGAGAGGCAAGTGATTCACCAAATGGATGAAGATATATGGTGCAAGGAGGATTGCTATTAGCCTAGTAAGACTCCTATCCCATGTTCACTCAGGATGTTCATACGTTCCAGCGTGTCAGTGTCAACGTGTATACAATATGAAAAAAGGTTATAGTGATTTCTAACTATCGGGTCATGGCCCAAATGAGCTTAATATAAATGGCCTTCAGTAAAGTAACACTAGAATTTTCTTTTTAATATAACCATGATATACTTGTTTGAAAATGCCATATCTTTTAAGATCAGTGTTTCCCAAATGTTGGTACTCTGTGAAAATTATACATCTATCATCTACAGACTAGATATATTTCTGAATAATTCACTCTGTACCTTATGAATGGTACCTCATGTATGCTGGAAGGAGTCAAGGAAAGGGAGGGGATCATCAATTTCTTTAAGATTCATACTTATTTTCAAAAACTGGATAACATCTTTGATTATAGTAAAATCTGCCAAACAGTTTGAAAGCTTTAAGAAACTGAGTGTGGCAATCAAATAAATTGAGCCTTGGAAGAATAAATACTGACATGTTCAATAAAAACATTCAATTGCAAGGCATAGCACATGTGGCAGTAATACACCTGAATCTGCACCCTACTGTTTCAAACCTCAACCTGTAAAGATGGATTAAAGGGGCAACGGAGATTTAGAGAAGAGTAGGAGTATAGGAGAGTAACTTTCTTCAATTTCATGGGTGTAGAGAGGGGGAGGGGGATGCAATCCCCCACCCCCACAAAAAATAGAAATGCAATTTTGTTGAAAAAAATATTATAGTTTGAAATGTTTAGAATACCCAATGTAAGTTTAAAAAAATTTCCTTCAACACCTTTCATATTTGAACATCTAAGACAATAAAAAATTAGGATTGTGAGGGAGACACTGGCGTGGCATAAGATCTAAAAATATTTTACACTTTACATTTATTCTTTGCTGCCACTTTAAGAACCATCTGGGAGGCACTATAACCTAACCATAACATCAACGTTTTTTAAGCACCATGAGCCTTTATTTATGAAAAATAATATTTTGAAAGTTTCTTGTATAAAAACAAAACCAAGATCAGGCATGCATGAAACAGACATTTACAAGTGGTTTTCGAAGGATGTGGTATATTTTCTAGTTTGCTTTGCATAGATTCTTTTCTTTCTAGTTAATGTTTTGTTTGTCTCGTATATTTTCTACTTGGTTTGTAAAAGTTATCAGCAACAAAATATCAATATAATTCTTAAATGACAGTATTGGTTTGTATGTACAAAAAATAGTTTATAATTAAAAAATCATTAAAATTGCTCCATTTCACAACGAATTAGAAAGCACGATGGGCAATACTTGTAATACAATGTAAAATAAAAAAAGTGAAGATAAAATTCCAAAATATAATTTCTTGTGCTTACTAGAGGTGTGTCAGTGCCACCAACTATACTGATTCCCAAGTCATAACACCCACGCTGTATGTCTATTGTTGTAATCTCTCCCTCAACTATAGGATTCTTAGGCATACCTGAAAATATACATTTTATACTAATTATTACTCATTAATAATACTAATTGTTTTTTATTATTTTAAGATCTGGTGGAATATTACAATATGTACAACTATTGCTTATAATTTAATTTGGGTTACATCTTGATTTCATTTTGATTTCTAGTTTCTCAAGGGAAACATTACCTCAAGGTTCAAAAATAGAAGCAATAGACTAGATGCAAGTAGGAATAATCTGTCACAAAATATTTGAAATCTACATGTAAAATTACATCCAAAACTGGTTTCAAAAATTGTTTATCAACTTTGAAAATTTAATTTTCTTTGAAAATGTGACTTCTAGGTCGGGGAGATTCCCCATGTTATGAAATCACAAAAAGTGAAATATCTTTTCTTGTATTGGATCGACAGATAATATTTTCTTTTACTGGACATATTTTAATTTGTATATCTATCAGATACATAAGAGTAATATGAAAAGTGAACAACTAAAACTGATGAATATTCAAGTTTAGGGAACTTTCTAATACCCTGCAATGTTATCTGCCCCAAATTAGCTACCTACTCGCATCTGGGTTATTCTTGTGGTCTTATCAAAAGATAACATCACAGTTTCATATTATTTTTTACTCAGTTCTTGATTTTCTGATATTTTTAAATTCACAATTTTAACAGGAAAATTGTATCCTTTTTCCATGTATGTGGAATACAAGAACAGCATCTTTTCTAATCATTATAGATTGGTTACTAAACCTTTCACCTGATTTTGTTTATTTACTTTCAAGTTACTTTTAGTGGATAGTCACAACAATAAATGTGATTCATTTAAAGCACCTTGCTTTGATGTTTGAAATAGTGTCACTTGGATATGTAAACAAATTAGAAGATTTGACAGGACCCTCTGATATGTCCATCAAAACTGTCAATTTTGTACTAAATTCACCTCAATGGGTTCAATTAAATTGTTACTTTTTCATAAAGTTTATGACTTTTGACTACAACCTGTATGATGTAGATGCATTATGGTTCATAAAGCAAAGGTTTAATTAGAATTTTCAACAAAAGGCAAATTGAATACAGGCAAAATTATTGGAAATTGAATTTAAACATTGAAACAGTTACAAAATTCCCCAAAACAACTTTTAAGTTAAATTAATAAAAAAACAACTGTAGAATATTTCTTCATTTTTGTGGAGAAATATTTTATAGGCTTATTGTTTTGGGATAGTAGCTATTAAGATACCATCCTGCATTAACATATTTGATCTATTTTGACAAAGGTAAAAGAAAAAACTTGTGCAATGGTTACACAATATAGGTCTTATGAAAACATAAAGAACCAAATTAATATGAATAGTGAAAGCTGTATTCACCATAGACACATGAAGACGATGACGCAAATTTCATAATAAGCAATACCCTTGCCAAATTAAGCTTCACCTAGTCTTTCCCTATTTGAGTCTTGACAATATCATGCTTATATAAGTCTTTCGGGAACCTTGTCAAATGGCAGGGTGAAGAAGATAACATGTACCAGTTGATAAAAATTGAATATTTTCTCCTATTTTGATGTCTTCATATGTTGCTTTAATTGTGAAAAACACATTCAGAATCATTGTTATATATATACAGTGTACCTACATGAACATCCCAATAGCCAGCATAAGTCAGTCATATCTCCATTGAACTGCTATTATCCTAATTAATCCAGAAACAATGATACTGTATTCCAACTAAATCTCTCAATTACGGCTCTAACTTATGGACTCTGTTCACCAGTTTTATCTGACATTTTAGATCCAATCTTTCTGCCAGGTTTTTATAAGACTTTTTTAATTTAGACCTTCAAATGTCAGATCAGATACAACTCAACATGATGTCCCCTATTAAAAAATGTCTGGTAGTACTCTACATTCGTTTTTTACGCATTCACCGAGATCTGATCTCCAATTTATTTCTTTGAAAATATTAAGTACTCTTTTAGACAAAATAATGAAGTTATTGCGGCTGTCAAATTTTAAAATAACTGATTTGAACATTTTTATGTCCTACTTATGAACAAAAATGAGAAATTCATAAAATTTTGTTTTTCTAAGGGAATCACTATGTTGATGATTCTCTCTTTGAAATCTTTTCAAATTGAAATTATTTTAATATTAACTTAAAAGATCATCTCTATTCAGATCCATGACTCTATTTCATCAGTCGGAAAAAGGCATAAAATAATCTGATTCAGAACTTATTAACTTTGCACTTTTTGTGTCTTGGTAGTCTTAAAAAGCTTACAGTTCCTTTAAGTATGTTCTGTAGGTATTACAGTAAGTAAAACTCATACATATGGCAATGTTTTCTATCAAAATCCCTGAAATATGTTTTTGGGACCCCCTGAGAGGCAAGTGTGGGAGAATTGAAAAACAGACTTCTTAAAGGTGGAAACAAGTTTTAATGTAAGGATACTGAGAACAGAATAAAAAAGTATACAAAAAATATATAAGAACAGGTTAGAAATATCAATATTTGGAATTTCAGTGACAGAACTTGGATCTTTTTATACTTGGATCTTGTAATCATATGAACTAGATTTTTTCTTTTTTTTCAGTCAGAATGACTCCCAAAATTAATTGGGAAGGAATCCACATTTTAATAAAAATTGTAGTGTTTATCTAAGGGAATGTTTAATAAATGCAAAAGTAACTATATTTTTTGCAAAATAAAAAGTATTTGAAAATGTATCCAAATATATTTTTGTGCAAGGGTCTATTTTCTCCTCTTTGGTATTGTTAATTGATCTGCAGTTTTCCAGATCTTTGTAAAACATTATAATGTATTTTCAAGAGTTTTAGTGCTTCTTGATTTATGGTGTGTCAAATACCAACTCTCTGCAGATTCAAGAACACCTAATGGTTGATTATGTCTTTGTTTATTTTTGTTTGTTTGTGTTTTTGTCAATTAAGATAAGCAACATAATCAATTAGTCTCATCAACTATAGGTACAAAGAAGAACACATTAAAAGTAGATGCAACCAAGAATAAAACGAGACACAACCTATTATTTCACTCTATCTCGTATAACCCCCCCCCCCCTCCCCCTGCTTCTGTCCAACTCCAAAGAGATTTTTATATATGTAATACCTGGAAATGCAAGCTTCAACTTCACATTTCCAAATAAGGGCAATGGATGAAATATTGAGATATTTTGATCAAAAACAGGTAAAATTCTGATTTGTGTCAAGAAGAAAGTCTGACACCACAGAAAGTGTTATATATAAAAGGACATCATTGGAAACAATGCTTTATAAAATAAACAATACATGCTTGTTATATTTACAGAATTCTATTTAGGTATGAATCTAGGCACAATAACCATATAAAAGACATGATCTCTATAAACTGATCAATACTGAAGAAATCTGCTCTTTTCACATGCAGTAAAAGGAAATCCATTTCAATCAAAAATATCCCCTAATTAGCATCATAATGAGAATCTAATTGGAGTATATCTGAACATAATATAAATATAGTGGGAATGTCCAGCAGTTGGCAATTGATCTGATGTTTACTTTATATGGAACAAAAAGCATATTTATAACAAAAAATGACTTAGAAATAATTGTGAGTTGAAAATAATGATCCTCCAATAGTTAAGTTGGTCTTAACCAAAACAGTGAACCTCAAAAAATGTACATCTTTCCACGGACCTGATTTAATGATCAATAAAGCCTTAACTAAAGGAACACACTTCTTAAACTAATTCATCTAAAACATACACATTTACATATATGATATACAGGAAAATAAACAGGTGATTAAAGTCGCTAATTGATCTTAATTCATTGGAAATCTTTACTGGTTCCTGCATTTATGGTGTCTCACACATTTTCTGGATTGATTTTTGAGACCCCAGCCAATTCCGCCTTGTAACATAATGTGATTCTCCATTAGGAAAACATCCCTGACAATAATGTTAATGTCAGCTTTATTTAGAATATTATTTTTTAAAAACATCTTTAAATAACATCACAAAGAAGAAATACAGAAGGTCACATATCATGAATTCTAGTTTATCCTAAAAAATGCAAATTACACCATTCATTTTAGAGATAATGCGATTAGGTCAAAATTTTGAATGAGGGAAGAAGACAAAAACACTTTAAAATATAAGACACATAGAGTATAAACTAGCATAGGTTAATAGGAAATATTGGGGAAACAAATGTGTTACATATTGATTTCAACACCTGGTAGAGAACATGCACAATTAAATATTAATACTCTGATGCATGACATTCTTCAACGCAGTGTTTGATTGATAAATAATAATGTTTAATACAATCTAATAAACTCTGAATTTATTCAATGGTAGTTGTTGGAGTAATTTTATTGACTTTGCTTGTTTTGAGTACGTAAATGCAACCTAACAAATACATCTACCTTTCTAGTGCTTTCTCCTGTACTTCTATATCATTAATTATTATATAAATCTAAGCAATTTCACATAAGAAACTAATTAAGCCAGCTCAAATTGAATAAAGAGTATTAGAAAAAAAAAAAAAGATACATTTAATTATTTGAACTATACAGTAAGATAAACACACAAAATTTTCTCAATTGTTCAAGAAATGTTATATAAATAAGTTACTTACGGGTATATTTTTTACGTTGCCTGGTTTTCCTCAATGCAGTTGCCATAGTTTCTATTTAAATGTTGTTGAAATATTTCAAACTAATAACTTATATTACAGTTCCTTTATAAATTTATATGTTTCTTTTGAGTATCTTTAAATTATATCAAGAATGAGTTCAAGACATACATTTTAGAAATGTGTATAACACTAAGTAGCTACTGTGTCACTTGTGTCAATAAAAGAGACATAAAGAAGTGTATAGATATTCAATCATCAGAGACCTTGATATAGATCTTAACAAATAAAAAAGTCAATTAACGAATGTAAAACTCTAAAAACTTTCGATTCCTATACATGAATTTGTTTATTGTAAATATGCATGCAAATGCTTACAGTTTACAGAACTGCACCAAAATTGCACCAGAAATGATGCACCATATGCCCAGGTGCATTAATAGCAATACATACTTATTGCAACAGTTATAACACAATTAGTGTCATATGAAAAAAGGATTACCTTCCTTATAAGTGAAAATACAGGTGAAGGAAAGGGTTAATGAAACTAAGTGTCAAATAATCAATGTAGAAAAAAATTTAAACTTCATAATGTTGATGTCTTAATTAAACTGTGTTGACTGAATTTTGTTTACATATTCTAAACCCGATCATTGAGCCGAATTATTGTTGTTAACTATGGAAAACAAAAAAAACTATGGTGCTAAATTTTGGCTGGCTGCCATAAAAGAATTTATGGCAGAAAAATATGTCTAGGCTTTATGTCCAACAACCCATCAAAGATCAGGTATCAATGTCTATTCTCACTTCCGAATATTATTTATAAACATGGTTTTGCAATATATGAAAACCCTGAAGATACTCAAAAACAAGAATATCGCATTAGACAGTTCTCATTGTAATGTTTGTGAACAAATATATCTTAGATAAAATACGTATCTTACAAAAAATAGAAAAGAATGAAAATCAATTTTTTATTACAATTATAATCAAGTTAAGTAGAGAAAGGACCTATTGTTAAATCCAAAACTGCTTAAGAAAACTTGAAAATGATTGAAAATATATAGTAGCTAAATAGAATTTGCAAGAAATTGATGATCTGGGTATTGATTTTGGTTGAGAGCAAAATGGATCTGTTTGAAGAGGCCATCTGTTTCTGTTTCTATGTAACACATACTGTATGGGCATTTCACATTTGTGCTAAATGACAAAATAGATCCCAAACAACTTTATATAAAATCCTTATTAAATGAAACAAAATATAAGAAAAAATAAACCAACATGTAGTTTTGATGGGATTGTTTTCTGAGGCAGCAACCCATAAATCAACCAACAAAACAACCTGTTTTGACAAGCAAGTTTACCAACCAACAAATCAAGCAATTTAATCAAGACATTCACCAAAGCTAGAATATGAAATAAACAATTTAGTAAAATCAATCATCCAAAAAGATTTTCAAATTCTCAAATTACACCTACCCTTCAACGGTTCATTCTTATTTTCATCTTCTTGGTCTTCCAAAGTTTCATTAAAATCATAAGTGACAGCCTCGTAATCATTTGAACGATAATTAATTCTTCTGTACTGGCGATTTAGATTGTTTACTTTTTCATCTGCGGGTACTTTACTAAAGTCAATCTGGTAATATTCATGGTGTTCATCATCTCTTTCAGTTGCCTCATTTAATTTATGATCATTTCTGTTTTGGTCATTACGGACATTGTCAATTTTTTCACATACTGTATAGGCACCATAGTCTTTCTCATTTCTTTCTTGTTCCTTTTTATCTTTTCCTTTTCTCTTTTGGTGATAAAATCTCAAAAAGCTTTCAAACTTCATCCTTAATATAAGTTTGTTACATGTGATCTTTTGAAGTTAATGTACTAAGAGTAATTTCCTCATTGAATTTCTTAAGATTTGTGATAAATGTTAGGAGGTTATTCTTGTCTTGTCTCCTTCGTCCTTTTTCAGCCCAAAGCCACTTGCTTTATTTTAGAATCTCAATAGCAATTTTTTCCCCTATAAAAACATCTAATTTCTCTTGAGACTGCACTTCTTTATGATTGCACCGAGCTAAATATGTCCCCAGCGTGTGATCTGCATTGATTCTCAGCTGCCAGCTTTTCAGTGTTATAGCAAACAATAATTTCTAATTTGAATTTTCCTGTTTTTATGTAAAAAGGAACGGCATATTAGCATGAAATTACCCTGGCACTGGATCTATACAATTTGGTAGTCAATAGATTTGTTGTATAAAGGTGTATTCAATTTTGAGATAATTGTTCAGAATCTCGTTCTGAAGAACTAGCGTAGTACACTTCACTATTGATCCTCTAACCCCTTCCATATAAATCTCATTTCTTTTTGTTTCTGCCAATATTAAACCCAAAATATGCCTAAAAATCCCTTTCCTCAAATTCGGCCTTTCATTTCTATTACAAATAAACTTGTAAGGAAAACAAAATAAAACAAATAGAAGGATCCTACACGTGTACACGGCTCAAGGGAAGACTGTATTGTGATCACTATTCAAACAAAGCCACACTTTAAGGAAATGAATAAATATTTAATACCAAAGAAAGGATTAACTTTTTCAGATAGTGGCACACAAGTTATGGTAACACTGGCAACAGCCTATTCTTATCATATATAATTGACTCCTGGGTCTTCTATTGATCTAAAATTATTATTTAGGCTATTATTAATTTGTCTGGGTTTTCTGGGCTATTATGTTTTTTTAACTTGATATCCATAGGTGACGTGTGAGGCATTTACCAAAACATTCATTGACGTAACCAACTTAATGAAGATTTATGCCTCAAACTTGGTACCAGATGCAGCATATATTTTAATCAAGAATTGAAAATAAGAATTTCAAATAAATAGGAACATTGAGGTGAAGATAATGAAGTAAAATACATATGTACAAAAAACAATGACTCTTGACAAAATGTTGTGTTCCCTCAAAAGAAGTCTCCCATTGTGATTGTTTGTTTTCATAATTAATATTTGCCCAGGTTTGTCAGGATACATTCATGACTGACACAGGTAATGATGAAAAATATAACTATAATGAAGCACACAAGGGAATATCCAACCTAAATAAGTTACTTTGTTATCAGATTTATGGTCCCAAATTATGGGTCTTCAAAGCAGGTGCAAATGATTCATTTGTTCTAATGAGAGAATAAAAAACAAACAATGAGAGAGTAAAAACAAACAATGAGAGAATAAAAACCAAACAATGAGAAAATACTGTAGCTTGGAACAACATTTCACAAAATTGTTAATTAAACATTATTCAAAACACAAACTTAAATATGACAATAAAAACGTGTGTCAAAACTAGAAAGGACACCTCAAGGCAAATATACATTAGAATCAAATACAAATATACTAAAAAGAACAATAAAATTTCTGTTTTTGTAAAAATCAGGGATGAAATAAAACTTTCTCAATTGCATGTAAAGATACCTCCATCTTTCTGCTGAAAATGCTTTAAAAATTCAAACAAACCTACATATATTGTTTTTCTTTTTGAACGGTAAATTAAACATAAGATTGAAATCTTAAAGTAGTTATTTTATAAATACATTTTGGACCTATCCTTATGAGTTGCTTATTAGTGCATGCCAGATTTTATACAATAAAACAAATGGAAAAAGTCGAAAAGTATCCTTTGAGTCCTTGATATCATAATTCTAATTTTTATTTATTTATTTTATCCATATAATATAATTATTATCAAGTGTTACATTTACACACTAGATACCAAAATGGGGGGGGGGGGTATATCAGTGCATTAACAAAATTTGGAAAACTGCTGTTTTCTTCTTGTAATTTGTTTTGAATACAATGCCATCTATTAGTAAACTCAAAACATTTTATTCATTTTCAAAGATTTCTCAAGTAAATGTCACAAAACAGTTGAAACATTAATGAGGATAGTGCAATTATATTAGGGGCTAGTTTGTAGGGTTTATCCAAAGGAATATATATACTGAGGGATATGGAGAAATATCTGAAGATATATCCTGTATCCAAAGCCATTATCCAAAATAATTATATACTTATTTATCCCATACTAATAGAAACTCTAGTACAGGAAATATGACCTTTATTCCCCAGATTTGAGAGCAGGAAATAATTTGAAATATTTCACCTAGTTGAAGATATAGTTTTTTCCTCTTGAAACTGTTCAAAATTTTTCTGTATGTAAGCCTGATATGTTAGGTTTGTAATATAAATCCTAATATATATATTCTTACCATCATCAGAGTCATTTGATGCCACATTTCTGTAGGTGCACTCATATAACATGTGACTGTCTAGGGCACTTCGTGGGCCATGGTGCTGACAGCCAAACTTCTCCTTTCCACATTTCACCACAGCCCCCTTGCACCTGCAATTATACATTATACAAAGAAACCATCATGGAATACATACCATGGCCATGTAATTTATGCCTGGGTCACATATGCTCTGATCCATCGACCGGCACCCGCCCAATTGAGTGTTTTCTTCAATATTGTATTCAATTTTGAACAAAATACTCAATCGGCCGGGCACCGTAGTGAAAATCGGAGCAAATGTGACCAAGGCATAAATTACACAAAGTAACATTAAATGAAAAAGAGGACTTGTATAGATGGCAGTTCACTCTCGATTTGTTCCTCACATATTACCCCATTTTCCTTTGCTTATATATATGAAGATTCTAAGGTTTCAAGTATTATCAATGAAATGTATATGGGAGATTTTGAATATTGATCTAATGTATGGTTATGTGTATGATCAAACTTACTGGATTCTTTACCAATTGAAATTGGCAGTCTGTAACACCATTGTTAATCTCTTAAAAACAAACACAAACCTGTTTTTGAGATGACTCTGTAGTTCACATCTTGGCAGAACTTCCTCACAGTAGTCTACATTGGGGCAGACAACAAGCAGTTTATCAAGTAATCTGAAAATATAAATTCCCGGGTATAATTTACACACAAATAATTAAACATTCACTTTTACACATTAGCATCACAGAATAACAGTTATTGCCATATCAAGCAAATGGAGCACTTACACGTGCAAAGGACGATTCTCGGTTTGGAGAACAGTCTCCTGGGCTAATAATTTTTTTCATGAAAAAGAAATATACCCAAATTAAACTATGAATATTCAAAAGAGGACATTAAAATCTACAAGATGTACAAATAACAAATTGGTCTGAAGCAGGGATAACGCTCAATTAGACCGATTCAATAAAATACAAGTCTCGATTTGGGGAAAGAAGTTCATCAGTGTACTGCGCTAATATTTTTTTGCGAAAAATCTAGAAATATTACCCAAATTAAATTATAACTATTCAAAAGAAGACATTCAAATCTATATTAAGTAAAAAAAATCAAATTTGTCCGAAGCAGGGATAATGCTCATTTAGATTGATGAACTTCGTTCTCCAAACCGAGAATCGTCCTCTGGTTGTTATAAGGGAGTAGGCAACTATAATGTTGCAATGGTACTATATTATCTTATTAATAATAGAACATAGAATGCTACACTGTTGTATTATTTATCATTGCGCTCAATCATTTTATTGTATTTTAATCATTTATTATATAATCATAACATTATATAATCAGTACATTGTATCAATTCTGTATTACTTTTAATATAATGCAATCAATGCATTGGATTTGTAAAGTTGTACAAATTGCTTCAAATGCATTTCATCATTTTTTCATTGTGTATAAAATGCATAATTATAATTATTAACTACACACAACTAATAAATTAAGTCTCAATAATATAACTGTATTTTTCTCCATGGTCTCTTATTGAAGTAAATCAGTGCACATATTTATTGGCCTTCATGGTATGTGTCACTCAACCCTACTAAGTAGTCTTAGCAAGGTTCTGACTATTGGGAGACAGAATAACATTTAATTAATCAATGAATGTCTCAAGGGAGTTCTAGTTATTAAGGATCTTCCTATTCCAGACTCCATTGTTTTTGAATCTTAGTCCTTAAGTGAGACGCATAGCATAATAGGCAGATATAATAAAAAATATATAATAGGTGTGATTATAAATACATATAATTCAAGAGAAATTCCATCATTTAATGAAACACTTGAGTTAAAAAATAATTTTTGAGGTAGGCTTGGTTGCCCGCTCCTGAAAATCTTCAGTGAATGTAGATATTTTAGGATTGAATTTTTTTTTTTCAGTATCTGATAAGTATCCTGGTATCTGAATGAAAAAGACTTAAAATAACTGCTGCATGAAATTTCAATCGCTGATATTTCTCTGTTTGGCCTATACAGCCTGTACTTAAGACCACACTACAGTATTTCATAACTTATGCATAACTTACTTTAATGGAGACAAGACAACATGATCTTCATTTTCATATTCCCCATCAGACTCTGCCATATTCTTGTGTCAATTTATCATCCAAGACATATAATGGAATCATTTCTTCGATCCAAGTCCTTCATAATGTTTAATCAGAGACATTTATTAATTCTCTTTATCTCTTTTCTGGATTCTAAAGGCCTTATAGCTTTGAGATTTTTTGTCTTTCATTTCTGGAAGCAATTCACACTGAGTTATTGCTTTTAGTCAATGTTGCATTTGGCATTGTAAAATACTTCAACTATTGTACATTCGATGATTTTTATATATGGTATACATCTTCAGATTGAATCACTTCAAATATCCTATTGCAGTAAGTGTTGGTTCCATGCTGTCATATATGTAGTATTAAAAAGCTATTTGCAAGATAGTCCTCCTAAAATACATTCCTTTCGCTTTTGTGTATATCTCTGGGTTATATCCCTTTTCAAAGAGTTCAATTCAGATCAGCTCCTTTGATTCTTAAGCATATCCCTATTAAGTTATGAGTGGTTTATTTGAAGTAGTTATTGCAAAACTGTTCTTCCATCATGGCTATGGTTATACTGCACTTCTATTCCAAGCCTAAAGTCAATTGTGTCAGAAATAACAGTTTCTATAGATTCTCATCAACAACCTACCAAATTATAACATTACTATCTCTCAGGAGAACCTAACTAAAGATGAAAAAAAATTCAATTCTAAATTTCTTAACTTGTTATATGACTACTTTTTACGGACTGATCATTTTTTAGATTTTTTCCTATTAACTCCTATGTTAAAAGTTCGACCAGTTCCGGAATTATTCCTAAGGATTTCCATCTGACTTCTGATCAAGCAATTTCATTTTCTCAGTGAATTGAATAAAGATCAGCCTGATGTATCAATTGCTTACTCAAGCTGTCACATTGTCTAAGATAATCTTCTATGGTGGTTAAATACATAAATGTGGCTGTAAGATCCTATATTAAACATTTTTAATCAACTTTAAAGGTATACTATGCCTTAACTTGTTTAGATGCTTTCTGCTAATTTGTTGATTCATTTAATAAAGACAGCTGTATTATAAAATGCTTAGCTAAATTAAAGACGTAAGACACAAACTGCACTAAATTAAGAAACCATAATTTTCATTAGTATACTCTTGTAATGATAATTAGTTCAATAATAATCTTTATTAGTGATGGTCCTGCTTATGATCTACATACTTCAATAGCCATAACATCATCAAGAAGTCATTGCAATATTAGAACATCAACCAAAATTATTGGTTATAGAATTGAAAGTTGTCATTTTAACCTGAATACATTTGCGAAATTCCTGTTGCTAATGAAATTCATTTGAAGACATAATTCTATTCTTTAATTTCCAGTTTTGGAATTTAAAGCTATTGAAGCTCATTTGAAGACATAATTCTATTCATTACTTTCCAGTTTTGAAATCTAAAGCTATTGAAGCTCATTTGAAGACATAATTTTATTCTTTAATTTCCAGTTTTGGAATCTCAAGCTAATGAAGCTCATTTGAAGACATAATTTTATTCTTTACTTTTCAGTATTGGAATCTAAAGCTAATCAAGCTCATTTGAAGACATAATTTTATTCTTTACTTTTCAGTATTGGAATCTAAAGCAAATGAAGTTCATTTGAAGACATATTTCTATATTCTTCACTTTCCCGTTTGAAGTCTAACTTATCTTCTTTAGCATCCTAACAATTATGCCTTTGATATACAGGCTCATCTATGCCTAATATAACTGAACTTACTACTAACTAGCCACTAAAATGTTAACTGATCGGATTTTATTTGGCTTCAGGCTCCATCTTACTGTTTTAGAATTATATTGATATGTAATCCTTTGTAAAATAATTCCATTGTTATTTGTTTCTTATGTTACATCGAACAGTCTACAAGACATAATCAATACAGCATAACTTCTAATAATGTATTGTAAAGTTTAAATCTCCAAACTGAGTTGATACAAAAAAATATTTACTTCCAAAACAACTTGGTCTCTTATAAGAATGTTCCAAATTGTAGGACTCTGTAAACAATCTAATTGGTCCCTCGCCATTCTTATAATGGTCATCATTAATGTCAATTTCCCTGCAGAGTAGAAAGGTTATAAATTCCGATATCTCCACAAATTACTTCTACCGCAACTCTGATGAAGGATAATATGAGGGAAAGTGAGTTATGACAAGACAACCACCTTGGAAAAATAAAAATCATGAATGATTTTAAATATAACACTGTGCTAAGTATCAGCAACACAATTGGGGGTTTTAAGATTAAATTCCTGCAAATATTAAAAACCCAACAAAGAAATACATTGGAGTTGCTCTCTAAACTTTCTCTGTCAAAGAAGTACATGTTTTCTCTTCGTTTTGTAAGGTTGCAATAACTGAGTTTAAAGATGGCTTCACTTAAAGCATTTATGATGGATCGTTATCTTGGAATACATATATTGTCATAATGAGATTGCAAAGTGCAGCATTTGTGTCAGCTAGTCAATATAGTAAGGACAAATTATTTTCTATAAATCAAAGCCTAAGGAAAGGAATCATTGGTTCTAATTATTATATCTTTGCAAAACTGAACTGCATGCTAAATTGCAAAAAATCCCCAAAAATCCTGGCTGAATATTCTTTCAAACAGTTTGATTTTACTGATTTAAAAGAAAGCTTCATCGACACTAGCTCTGACACTTAGAGCATCTTGGCCAAAATTCATCCTCAAGAAAGCCAAGCAACATAAATAAGGGTTATGTACTGGGAGGTTTTGGATATGGGGTTTATCCAGAGGGAGATATGCATATCTACCTGAGGGACCGTAGGGACCGAAGGTAGATGTGCATATCTCACGAAGGATGAACCCCATATCCAAACCGACCGTACATAACTGCTTTATCCTACACCAAGTAGAGTTTTCTAATTTTCTTTCAATTTTTTCATTTTTTTTTTATTTTTTCAATTTTTTCACATTTTTCTAATTTTAAAAAAAAAAAAAAATTCTTTTTTCAATTTTTTTTCACATTTTTTCTTTTCTTAAATTTTTTCTTATTCTTTCAAAAAAAATTTTCGAAGCGGGAAGATATGCCCTGGAGCGGGAGATATGGCGGGAGATATGGAGGTTCAAGATATGGAAACCTCAAAATCAGGATACGGGATATATCTTACCAACTTATCTCCCTAAAACTTTACTTGGCATAGGATAATGGACATTATCTGACTTTATCATCACTACATAATAAATTATATTGGAGAGATCTCTGAGTGTACAATCAAATTAGAAAACTCCACCCAGCAATTCCAGTAAATGAAATCATCTCTGATTGTTCAGTATTCTGGCATGATTTATTTGCCAGCAGAATTACTTTGATTTATAAATATTTGTTCGGTAAAAAGCTTAGTTTCTTCTCGAGACTGAGTTTGTCATATCAATATGGAGGTAAATATGATTCATAAATGGATAAGATATCATCTTGCAAGGTTTGTTTTATGTTTTAAGTGGACTAATAAAGATAATGTGTAGCATGAGTCAATTTCACGCTTGGATAAATATAAGTGTCAA